GTTTAATGCTCAGATCAGGGAAAGGAATGACTCCATTTTACACTGTCCTGGTCAGAGCTTGTGTGGAGCCATGTTTTCTTCCAGGAGCCTCATTTTAAACGATGTTGACAAACTGGAGGATGCCCCACATAGGGTGACCATGTCATATGAGAATCCTTTGGAAGAAGTGATGAGATTTTTGCCTGGAAAAGTCAAAAATTAAAAGATTGCTCTTAAAGCTCTTTAGTTATTTAACGATCTTTCATATAGAAGAATATATTAGTGCTTCTAGAGGGAAAATCTAGGCACAGTGATCGGAAATTTAGGGGGCAGCTCCCACCTTGAGAAAAGACAAAACTTTCTGGCCGGTGTGGTGGCTCACGCCTATAATCCTAGCACTTTGGGATGCCAAGGCGGGTGGAACCCTTGAGGTCAGGAGTTTGAGACCAGCCTGGCTAACACGGTGAAACCCCCGTCTCTACTAAAACTCCAAAAATTAGCCGGCCATTGTGGCAGGTACCTGTAATCCCAGCTACTCAGGAGGCTGAGGCACGAGAATTACTTCAACCCAGGAGTGGATGTTGCAGTGAGCGGAGATCGCGCCACTGCCCTCCAGCCTGGGGGACAAGCGCGAAACTCCGTCTAAAAAAAAAAAGAGAAAAGAAAAAGAAAAGACAGAACTTTCTGAAGATCAAAACTGCCAGAATGGGAAGGATGACTTTGTGAAGTAGTGACCCGGCTGTCCCTAAAGCAGCCCAGCGAGGTGCTAGAGAGGTTAGCCTTCGGTGTTTTTCAAGCTACCTCTGTGGAGCACCATCCTGGGGAGCTAGGGTTGAGGTCGGGATGTAAAAATGGTCATTGTTCTTGAGTGATAAAAAGAATAAGGAGGTAGGAACTGGACTCCTAATTTCTCCATAGCAGCTCAATTCTCATGTGTTTAAGTGTTTCCTATTTCAGAGTTCCACTTGAGATCTTCATTAAGAGTTCTACTGCTAAAATCAAACTTGCAAACCACCAGAGATAATGGATTTCTTCACCATCTCTTTTAATTTTTAATTTTTATTTTTAGATGGAGTCTCGCTCTGTTGCCCAGGCTGGAGTGCGGTGGCGCAATCTTGGCTCACTGCAACCTCTGCTGCCTGAATTCAAGCGATTCTTCTGCCTCAGCCTCCAGAGTAGCTGGGATTACAGGCACCTGCCACTGCACCTGGCTAATTTTTGTATTTTTAGTAGAGACAGGGTGTCACCATATTGGTCAGGCTGGTCTTGAACTCCTGACCTTGTGATCCACCCACATTGGCCTCCCAAAGTGCTGGGATTAAAAGCGTGAGCCACTGCACCCAGCTTTAAGGCAGTTTTTTCAATCTTTTGGTTAGTAGCTCTTGAGTCTGTAAAGCCTGGCATTTTTGTAGAGATAATTGGATTGGCCGGGCGTGGTGGCTCACGCCTATAATCCCAGCACTTTGGGAGGCCGAGGCAGGTGGATCACAAGGTCAAGAGATTGGGACCATCCTGGTCAACATGGTGAAACCCCGTCTCTACTAAAAATACAAAAAAATTAGCTGGGCATGGTGGCGCATGCCTGTAGTCCCAGCTACTTGGGAGGCTGAGGCAGGAGAATTGCCCGAACCCAGGAGGCGGAGGTTGCCGTGAGCGGAGATCATGCCATTGCACTCCAGCCTGGGTAACAAGAGCGAAACTACCTCTCAAAAAAAAAAAAAAGAGATAATTGGCATTAACCTTTAAGACTCTCCTCACATGCTCCTTCCCACTTTGGCACCTTCCTCCCACAGGCCTTCCTCCTGTCCAGCCCCTCCATCAGCCTTTTCCTCTGGCAGCCAAGGCTTGTCTCTCCAAGTGGTACCAGGAGAGAAATCCTAGGGCCGAGTATCAGTCAGAACGCTAGCTCCGGACACTTGACCAGGGCAGGCCCTTGTGGGTAGCTCAATAGGTAGGACCCCTCCCTGCCAGCTGGGGCTTCCCAGCCCCGCCACGCTTGGGTTCTCCTACTTGGAATCTTCTTAAGACTACTCTTTATACCAGTGCTTCCCAAATCACACTTCTCTTTAAACATGTTACCTAAGCAGCTTGTTTAAAGGTTAGCCTCAGTCACTCCTCAGATCTCCTGAATCAGAATCTCCCAGGATGGGAGCTAGGAATCTTATTTGTAACAAACGAGATTACCCGGGGGCCCCATTTGGGAACTACTAGTTTCTAGCATTCACTTTGGCACCAAGGCCATCTTACCTTGTATGATTATTGTCCTATTGATGCATCCTGTCTTCTCTTAAAGTGGAAGGCCAGATGTCCCTTGCTTTCGTGTCTATTTCCTCCCACCCAGCCCAGAAAGCAGCAGGTGCTCCTAATGTTCTCAGCAGACAGTGGGTGCAGCACGAGTAACACCGGCAGTCCTCTGTACTTTCTTTAGTACAGAGACTCATGGTTGCAAAAGTCTTTCTGTGCTAGACACCAACTTTAAATCTCTACTCAAGCTGGGGTTCTTAGATGTCAACACGCATCAGACTCACCTGGAGGACTTGCGATAACGCAGACTGCTGCATCCCCCCCCAGAATTTCTGATTCAGTAAGTCTGGGTTGGTGCCTAAGAATTTGCATAGCTCCTTTTTTTTTTTTTTTTTTTTTTTTTTTTTTTTTTTGAGACAGTGTCTCACTCTTGTCACCCAGGCTGGAGTACAGTGGTGTGATCTCAGCTCACTGCAACCTCTGCCCCCTGGGTTTAAGTGATTCTCCTGCTTCAACCTCCTGAGTAGCTGGGATTATAGACATGTGCCACCATACCCAGCTTATTTTTATATTTTTAGTAGAGACGGGCCAGGCTGGTCTCAAACTCCTGACCGCAGGTGATCTGCCTGCCTTGGCCTCCCTCAGTGCTAGGATTACAGGTGTGAGATATTGTGCCTGGCCAAGAATTTGCATTTCTAACAAGCCCCCAGACAATGCTTTGGGAAAAACCGTGCTAGGCTTTTGCTTTCCTTCATTGTTATTGCCGGTGTTGGTGTTCCATTACAGAATTCCCTTCTGCTCATATTAGCTTCAGTATATTCCATAGCGTCTCTCTGCTTATAGGCTTCTTGTTTCTATGCAATTGCAGTATACTATGGCCTTCTATTTTAAATTTTTCTACAACCACTGGCTCTGTGGGCCAGGGTTTCACCCTCACACAGGTGCTATACACTTAGAAGTCATCCTGGGGTTCTTTTTTACTTTTTGTTTGTTTTTTTGAGACAAAGTCTAGCTCTGTTGCCCAGGCTGGAGTGCAGTGGCGCAGTCTCAGCTCACTGCAACCTCCATCTCCTAGGTTCAAGCGATTCTCCTACCTCAGCCTCTTGAGTAGCTGGGGTTACAGGCATGCACCACCATGCCCAGCTAATTTTTGTATTTTTAGTAGAGAGAGGGTTTCACTGTGTTGGCTAGGCTGGTCTTGAACTAGTGACCTTATGATCTGCCCATCTCGGCCTCCCAAAGTGCTGGGATTACAAGCATAAGCCACCACGCCTGGCCTCTTTTTTTTTCTTCTTTGAGTTGGAGTTTTGCTCTTGTTGCTCAGGCTGGAGTACAGCAGTGTGATCTAGGTTCACTGCAACCTCCACCTCTTGGGTTTAAGTGAGTCTCCTGCCTCAGCCTCCCGAGTAGCTGGGATTACAGATATGCACCACCACACCTGGCTAATTTTGTATTTTTAGTAGAGATGGGGTTTCTCCATGTTGGTCAGGCTGATCTCCAATTCCCAGCCTCAGGGGATCCACCTGCCTCGGCCTCCCAAAGTGCTGAGATTACAGGTATGAGCCACCGCGCCAGCCTAGAAGGCATTCTCACTGAAGAAATTTGGTGGAGGGAAGGATTCATGTGGGCTGGAGCAACTGAGAAAGCTTCACAAAAGGAGTTGGAGTTGAATGTGTCCTCAACAGGAGATTTGTCTGTTTAGAAGGGAGAGGAAAGAGTATTCCTGACAAGGGAACCATCCTGACAGTGACCCCTGAATACAGGAGCATTTATTGGGATGACACAGAAGAACAGACTCACACTGGAACACACATCTCTTCAATGAGGAGGTGAAATACATCACGGGAAGGAGCCTGTCTGTTGCCAGGGCTATAATGACCTATTAAGTGCAATCAGCCGTGCTGTAGCCAGAGGGATGTTGATTTTGTCAAGCAGGTTATAATTCAGGAGCCTCGGGGAGAGTGGTGCTGCGTGGGCAAAGCAGCGTGGGCAGCACCATCAAGGGAATGGGTGTGTTTACTCCCAAAGCCCAGGACAGATAATTCCACTTCTTCTTTCTGTAGAAAGAAGTGTGGCAAGAGCTGACCTGAAGAAGAAGCTTTGCTCAATAGGAAATAAGCTATCATGATGAAATGAGGAAGCCCTGCTGGGCTTCAGCTTGATGGTTTTGAATTATAAAGATAAAAGAATGTGTAAAAAGCGAATATGCTAGTGGAAAACTGGAAACACTCCAAATATCCATCAAAAAGACATTGGTTAAATGAACTGTGTGGTGTTCATGCTGCAGCAGACTATGAAACCGGTAGGAAGAAGAAAGTAGCACTGGGCATAGTGACCTGGAAATAATTCCTAGCTACATGGCTAAGTGAGGAAAACAAGTTGCCAAACAGTATATTATAATCCCCTGATTTAAAAAAATACATCAATAGACTGGGTGTGGTGACTCACGCCTGTAACTCCAGCACTTTGGAAGGCCAAGGCAAGTGGATCACCAGGTCAGGAGTTCGAGATCAGTCTGGCTAACATGGTGAATCCTCATCTCTACTAAAAATACAAAAATTAGCCGGGTGTGGTGGCACCAGTCTGTAATCCCAGCTACTCACGAAGCTGAGGCAGGAGAACTGCTTGTACCTGGGAGGTGGAGGTTGCAGTGAGCTGAGATCGTGCCTCTGCACTCCAGCCTGGGGGACAGAGCGAGACTCTGTCTCAGATACAAACAACAACAAAATACATCAGTAAAAACACTTGAATGATGTTTGCAAAGTGACTGTTAACAGTTTGCCTGTGGAAAGGGGAGTGGAGTTAAAGTGGGAGCTAGAGAACTTAAGTGAGTTTTTAGTTTTTATTTTTAAAATTAAATTTCTGAATGGTCTAAACTTTTTTCAAACATGCAATTGATATAAGTTCTAGTTAATGTGGACTCAGTGCCAGACACTGCTCTAAAGTGTCTATTATTAGACCTATTATTAGACCTAATATTAGACCTATTATTTCATCTTCCCAATGAACCTCTGTTCATTGGGAGATGGTATTATTAATTTCCCCATTTTGCAAATTAGAAAACTGAGGCTGGGAGCAGTGAAGCAGCCTGTCCAAGGTCACATGGTAGTAAGTGGGAGAGCTGAGATTTGAACCCATGTCATCTGGCTCCAGCATCTGTGTACTGACCCTCTCACTACTATGGCCCTCGATGGACCGTGTTGGTCCATTGAATGGTAACTGTAACTGTAATATGATTCCAGTAAAAACAAAACAAAAAATATGTGCATAGAAAGAGCAATGGAAGTCTCTATAGTTGTCCCTTTAAAACATTGATCCAAAGATTCACTCTGAATTCCAGCTCAGACATGCTAATTCAGGCATGAAATGTGGTGATTTCAGAATGCAAGATAAGCTTCACTTCTCCCTCCTACCCCAAACTGTAGGTTAACATTTCTTGAACAAGGACTAAATGTTTTTACCACCCAAATAGAGATCAGGCTTAATATGTGACTATTTCTGGACAAGGGGTAACTATTTCAAATTTAATTGTATAAGTGTCTGATTTAATATGATCAGGGTATAAAGAGCAATCACATACAAAAAGCAGGTTGTGATAGAAGATGGGGAAGAGGCAGGAAGGAGTGATTCTGAGAGCATCACAGGGTTCATAAGGGGAAGGCAGACGGTAGCAGATTATCGTATACTAGTTATCAATGATAGAAACCTTATCTTTCATAAGCATTTGCCTATGCATTTACACATTTGATCTTTATAACTTATGAACTAGAGAAGACAGATTTCTTCATTTTATTTATAAAGAAACCCAGGCTACTTTCCTGGGTTTCTTTATTTATAAAGAAACCTACTTCTTTCCCTTCATTCTTTGCTTTCCTCTCCCACTCCAACTCCAAACTCACATTTACAGTTGTATAAAGAAGGGAAAACATGAATTTTTAAAAATGAAACTTATCTTACCAATGGGATTGGAATTGTAAACCCATTCCCTTAAGCTCAAACTCCTACTAAGTCTTTGAATTTTTTTCTACTTTATCACCTGATTAGAATGGGTGAAGTTCCATTACTCAATTCTTTCATCAGTTAAATCCAATTAATCTATTCACTGCTTCGTTAAATCCTTTTTTCTTTTTCGAGACAGAGTCTTGCTCTGTCACCCAGGTTGGAGTGCACTGCCGTGATCTTGGCTCACTGCAGCCTCCGCCTCCCAGATTCAAGTGATTCTCCTGCCTCAGCCTCCTGAGTAGCTGGAATTACAGACATGCACCACTATACCTGGCTCATTTTTTGTATTTTTAGTAGAGATGGGGTTTCACCATGTTGACCAGACTGGTCTTGAACTCCTGACCACAAGTGATCCACCTGCCTCAGCCTCCCAAAGTGCTGGAATAACAGGCATGAGCCACTGTGCCTGGCCACTTTGTTCAATCTTGAATTCTCTTCTTTCTATCGCTAGTGCTACAGCAGTGCTAGATATTTAAGTGATCTTCAGCTGAATTCTGCATGTCTCCCATGGGTTTGACTCTGCGATCACATCCCCTAAAAAGCCATGCTAATGACCCGAGGACATGGATATGCTCCACAAATCCATGTTAAGTAGAGGAGAAGGAAAAATAAGACCGAAAACAAATACTATACACTATAATTCCTCTAGGGTAGGGGCGTCCAAACTTTTTTCTTCCCACATTAAAAGAAGAAAAATTGTCTTGGGCCACACATAAAAAATACACTAAAACTCTTGGGCAGGGTGGCTCATATCTGTAATCCCAGCACTGTGGGAGCCTAAGGAGGGTGGATCAGGAGTTAGAGACTAGCCTGGCCAACATGGTGAAAACCAGCTCTACGAAAAATACAAAAAATTAGCCAGGTGTGGCAGTGCATGCCTATAATTTCAGCTACCCGGGAGGCTGAGGCAGGAGAATCGCTTGAACCTGGGAGGTGGAGGTTGCAGTGAGCCAAGATCATGCCACTGCACTGCAACCTGGGAGACAGAGCAAGACTCCGTCTAAAAAAAAAAAAAAAAATTACACTGTTAGCTGATGAGCTAGGAAAAAAAGTCACACACAAAAAAAATCTCATAATTTTAGAAAGCTTACAAATTTGTGTTGGGCTGCATTCAAAGCCACCTGGGTCACATGCGGCCTGCAGGCGGAGGTTGGACAAGCTTGCTCTAGGATAAGTGGATGACTCCTGAAACTTCCTGCAATGCGTGGTTGGACTACTGATAGTAGTAGGAGGGAAAGAGCACTGAGGGGGCAAGAAAATGACCAATTCAAACGCTGCTGTGCATTACAAGGAAGACACATGGATTTTGTTTGACACTTTCCACATTTAATTTTTGCCCTCGCCATTGCCCACATGGTTCTAAAAATTACCGCCAGGGGGCAGAAGGGTGCCAATGTCAATTGTCTGCCAGGTTTGGGTTTTCCTTTCCAAATTTCCTCACAGCATAATTTCTGATCCTGTTATGTATATTAAGAAACTAAGGAGCAGAAAGTAAATAGTAGGCAACCTAGCATTTCGTGAGTGGCAGAGGTAGGAGTTAAACACTGGTTTGGGTAAATCCAAGGGCTAGGCAATTTCAGAGATCACCTGAGTTTAAAAACATTTTACAACCCTCTTTGATTAAATGCAATACATTATGAAAACTTCAAACAGGCTGGGCACAGTGGCTCATGCCTGTGATCCCAATACTTTGGGAGGCAGAGGCAGGCAGATTACTTGAGGTCAGGAGTTCAAGATCAGCCTGGCCACCATGGTGGAACCCCGTCTTTACTAAAAATACAAAAATACAGACATCGTGGTGGGTGCCTGTAGTCCCAGCTACTCGAGAGGCTGAGGCAGGAGAATCGCTTGAACCTGGGAGATGGAGGTTGCAGTGAGCCAAGATCCCGCCACTGCACTCCAGCCTGGGCGACAGAATAAGACCCCACCTCAAACAAAAACAAATACTTCAAACAATGTTACTGTAACTCCTATTTTCCTGTTTTGTTTTTCACTTATCATTAATTTTTGTCATTGTCCTTTCAGCTCTGTGTCCATTGTCAAAGAGAGAGCCTTGTCCCTTTCGACTAATCTTGACTTTATGTCCCTCCATTAAGAAAACCTTTCTGTGATGGCTTCTGTTCTGTTGTCTATAACTGAAAGACTTCATGGCCCGGTGTGGTGGCTCAAGCCTGTAATCCCAACACTTGGGAGGCTGAGGCGGGCGGATCATGAGATCAGGAGTTTGAGACCAGCCTGGCCAACATGGCGAAACTCCGTCTCGACTAAAAATACAAAAATTAGCTGGGCATCGTGGTGCATGCCTGTAATCTCAGCTACTCGGGAGGCTGAGGCAGGAGAATCACTTGAACCCAGGAGGCGGAGGTTGCAGTGAGCCAAGATTGTGCCACTGAACTCCAGCCTGGGCAACAAGAGTGAAACTGGGTCTCAGAAAAAAAAAAAAAAAAAGGAAAGACTTCAGCAGAATCACTGTAATAATAAATGCATGTGTTAATCAGATTGGAGCTGCAAGCTAGGGCCAGATGCCCTAAGCGAGAACACACTCTAGGGGCGGTTAGTGAAGCAGGTCATCAAATGCTTCAGATAGCTCTGTGTTCAGTTACACGGGAGGTTTTAACCAGCACGATGGATGTTGGAGGTGTTTCACTGGTGAAGTTAGCAGTGTCCAAGACGTGTGAATTCTCTGGAAATACTGAAGAGCTTTCCCTGCCATTGTGGGACCAGGATCCCACACCTAGTGACCCTTAGAATAGCACTGTAGGTTTGACTCCTAAATGCTCTTGTAATCCAGCCACTGATTCAAAAGTCTTGGCCCTTTGAGTTTGACAAGATGCTTGCTGAATCCTCCCTGGAGACTAGTGTTTCATTTGTTTCAAGTGAAATGGAGCAGTACTTAAAAAGTGCGAGATCTGGGGCTTCATCATGTCCACAGAACACATTTGAAACTGTTTCTGTACCTGCCCGATAATAAACATTATGTGCATGCGGCCAATCTGGGCTGAGACTTGCTTCCATTGTGGCCATGATGTTGTGGGTCAGGACATCTGCGGACCTCATCTGTTATTTACCAATGATTATAAAGGGACAAATTACCTTAGGTTGGTTCACAATATTTTGTTTACATCCTGCTTCAGAGAAAATTCCCCCAGCAAATATATCTGCATTTCCTTCCTTCCTCCTTGAGGGAAAAGTCCAGAGATGTGGGAATGGGGGAAGAGCCACCTATATCCTCTCTCCAGGTTTCCCACTACCTGGAGGAAACATCTTTCCCCGCTTTTTTTAATTTACAGGCTTGTTTGCTGAGGCTCCTTTTTTGCTTTCTCACAGAGAGTAGCATGTTTTCCACATAATGTGTGTTCGCTAATTAACAAGACCTGCAAGTTCTCCCCAGCTAGGCTGTAACACATAGGCAATTCACTTTTTGAAAACCACTGATATCAGATGTTTAAAGCAACAGTGGGCCAGGCACAGTGGCTCATGCCTGTAATCCCAGCACTTTGGGAGGCCGAGACAGGCAGATCACGAGGGCAGGAGTTCAAGACCAGCCTGGCCAGCATGGTGAAACCCATCTCTACCCAAAATACAAAAATTAGCCTGGCAGGGTGGTGGGTGCCTGTGATCCTCACTACTCGGGAGTCTGAGGCAGGAAAATCGCTTGAACCCGTGAGGCGAAGGCGGCAGTGATCTGAGATCATGCCACTGAACTCCAGTTTGGGTGACAGAGCAACACTCCATCTCAAAAACAAACAAATACAAACAAAAACAGTGTCCTTTAAAATACAAGATAAAATTGCAAAGAAATCTATTTTATCATTATAGGGTGGTAACTTTTACATGTATCTTTCTTTCCAAGGAGATTCTAAGTCCTGAAGAATCAGTTGCAGAAATTACGATCCCTGCCCTCACCTGCTTTGGTCCAGGTTTTCGTCATATGCTGTCTACAGTATTATCACTGTCTAGATTGGTTTCTATTGTTGATCCACAGTTCTTTTTATCAGTTGAGGTACTGCAAAGTGCACCAATTTTAAATGTACAGTCCAGTGAATGTTGACTTGGATGTACACCCCTGTGAGCTCCACCATGCATCTCCAGCACCTCCAAAAGGCTGCCTCATCCCCTTCCTTGTCAACACCAAACCCCCAAAAGGATGAACTACTCTAACTTCTACCACCTTCGACTGCTTTTGTCATCTTGAATGTAATTGAATAAAACAGTATATACTTTTTGGTACCTGGTTTCTTTGCTCAACATAGGGCAGTGAGATTCATTGACTCTGTGGCATAAAACAGTAACTTACTCTTTTGTATTGCTGTGTGATATTCCATTATATGAATATATTACAGTTTGGTTATTCAGCCCTCTGTGGATGGACTTTTAGGTGGTTGTCAGTTTTTGGTTATTGTGATAAAGCTGCTAAAAATATGGAATCACTGGGTGTTATTATAAATGATGTCTTAAAGATTTTTATTTTCTAGTTGATTGTAGAAGCATGGACAAATACAGTTGGTTTTTGTATATTGACCAAATTTTGTATATTGAACAAATACAGCTGGTTTTGTATATTCTTTCTAACAACTGTGCTAAATTCGTTTATAAAGTCTAACAGTTTATTTGCAGATTATTTCAGACTTTCTATGTATATCATGGCATTTGTGATTAATGACAGATTTTTTTTGTTTCCAGTTTTTATTCCTTTCCCCCCTTTCTTTATAGTAATGGCTAGAATCTCCAGTATACTGTCGAGTATTCGTGGTGATGCTACTTATCATTGCCATGCTTCTGATGTCAGGGGAAAGTATTCAGTATTTCAGCATTAAGTCTGATGATATCTATAGGCTTTTTGCAGATGAATTTTTTTTTTTTTTTTTTTTTGAGACAAAGTCTAGCTCTGTTGCCCAGGCTGGAATGCAGTGGTGTGATCTTGGCTCACTGCAACCTCTGCCTCCCAGGTTCAAGCAAATCTCCTGCCTCAGCCTCCCGAGTAGCTGGGATTACAGGTGCCTGCCACTATGCTTGGCTAATTTTTGTATTTTTAGTTGAGATGGGGTTTCACCATCTTGGTCAGGCTGGTCTTGAACTCCTGACTTCATGATCCACCCACCTTGGCCTCCCAAAGTGCTGGGATTACAAGCATGAGCCACTGCGCCCGGTGCAGATGGAAACAATTTAGTGGATTAAAAAATTTTCTCTCTATTATTGGTTTCCTGAGTGTTATTACATTAACAGGTATTGAATTTTTTTCATGTGCTTTTTTTTGCATATTGAGATGATTGCATGATTTTTTTTTAGTCTGTTCATGTCAAATTTGTGCTGATGGATGTTCAAATATTATACTAATCTTGCATTACTAGAATAAAGCTGGCATTACTGAGCAAGGTGTGAAGTCTTTTTTTGGTGTATTGCCAGATTTGATTTGTTAATATTTTGTTTAGGATATTTATATCCAAGCTCATTAGAGAAGTTGTCCAACAATTTTCTCTTTTTGCAATGTCTGTTTTTGAGTCTCAATATCAGGATTTTGCCTACCTCATAAAACACGCTGGAATATATCACATTTTCCTGTTTTTTTTTTTTTTTTAGACAGAGTCTTGCTCTGTCGCCCAGGCTGGAATGCAAGAGTGTGATCTCAACTCACTGCAACCTCCATCTCCTGGGTTCTAGCAATTCTCCTGCCTCAGCTTCATGAGTTAGCTGGGATTATAGGCATAAGCCACCGTGTCTGGCTAATTTTTGTATTTTTAGTAGAGACAGGGTTTCATTATATTGGTTAGGCTGGTCATTAACCTCTATTGTTTAAAAAAATTTTGAACAATATTAATATTTTTTCTTTCTTAAATATTTTGAGTAATTCACTAGCAAAGCCATCTAGACAAGGAGTTTTCTTTGTAGGAAGGTTTTAATTACAAATCCAACTTATAGGACTATTCAGATTTTACTCTTCTTGTCTCAGTTTTATTTACTTGTATTTTCCAAAGAATTTGCTAACTTTATCTAAACTATTCAAATTATTGCACCAAGATAGTTACAACATCTTATTATCTTCTTAATGTTGTAGAATTTGTATCCATATTCTCATTTTGATTCCTGATATTGGTCATTCCTTTTTTCCTCTTGAGAGTTTATTAATTTTTTAATTTTAGCATAATTTCAGAGTCACAGAAAAGTTCTGAAGATAGTACAAAACATTTCCATATACCTCTCACCCAATTTGTTTATTCAATACATTTGTCAAAACTAAGAAATCAACACTGATATGTCACTATGAATAAACTCCAGACTTCACTCACATTTCACCAGATATTTTCATTAGCGATCTTTGTTTCTTCCAGGATCTAATCCAGAATACTGCACTGTGTTTAGTTATTACTTTCTTAGGCTTTCCTTGTGTATCATGACCTTGACAGTTTTGAAGAGGACTGGTCAGATATTTTGTAGAATGTATTTCAGATTGGGTTGACCTCAGGTGATCCATCTAAGTGCAGTGGCACAATCTCAGCTCCCGGCAACCTCTGCCTTTTGGGTTCAAGTGATTCTCCTGCCTCAGCCTCCCAAATAAGTGAGATTACAGGCGTGTGCCATCAAGCCAAGCTAATTTTTGTATTTTTAGTAGAGACAGAGATTCACCATGTTGGCTAGGCTAGTCTCGAACTCCTGAGCTCAGGTGATCCACCCACCTCGGCCTCCCAAAATGCTGGGATTATAGGCGCGAGCCACCACACCCGGCCATATTACTTGTTTTCTAGTTTCTTTGAGATTCTGATCCCAGAGCCTGGAATTATGTGTCTGTTGGATGACTGGATATGTGGCAAATTGATGTTCTGTGTCATCCAGCTTTGGAATTAAGAATGGAAATGGCCTATTGTGTTATATTACGTGGCAAATGCATGAGTGACACAGGAAGAGAAACTGATTCCTCTTTCAGGAGCACATTAAATTAAAGTAACTTGTAAGTACAACCAATGAATTAAAAATATAGCTTTGTATGTATCCCCAGAGCTAATTAGTGCCGGCACAGAGCAGCAGCTTGATAAATATTTGCTGAATGAATGAATGTCTTAGGGATTTGCTCAAACAAGGAGTAAGATTTTTACGTATTTGGACCTGAAATAAGCCCCAAGCAAATAAATGCATTTTTCTAAAACTGAACAGACCTAAAAGGTTTACGATGTTGAAATCATAAGGGAAGACTGAGCTGTAATTCCCTGATTAGGACATCAGATTTGAGGCTGTGGGGGTGGGTGGTGAAGCTCTAGTTGACTGATATCAAGAAACCAGTGGGCAGTTCCCTAGCAGAGTATCCTTTGTCAGCTTAGTAACATTTAACCTTGTCCTGGTGTTGCTGTCAGCTCACTTGAGGGGTGGGGGGCAGATCCAGCCTATTGTAGGAGTGTTAGGAAAGAGATTCCTGGTCAGTATCTCACAGGTAGATGCTGGAACCTGGATGAGAAAGAGAGAGCTGAGACATGCCAATCTCAGAGGGCTGTTGGACTTTGTGGGTATGAGTTAGCTGAAACCCTCAGAGACAACAAATAAAATCCATATAGGTGTTCTCACAGACTAGAAGCTCACAGTTATAAACAATCAGATAAAGGTTGTGGGGACGGGAAGGAAAGGCCGCTTTATCAACCTCTCTGGGCCACTGGCAAAACAAACACCTCCATATTGCTCCCTTTCTTTCTTTCTTTTTCTTTTTTTTTTTTTTTGAGACAGAGTCTTGCTCTTTCACCAGGCTGGGGTGCAGTGGCACAATTTCGGCTCACTGCAACCCCCATCTCCCAGATTCAAGTGATTCCGCTGCCTCAGCCTCTTGAGTAGCTGGGACTACAGGTGCACGTCACCACACCCACTATTTTTTTGCATTTTAGTAGAGATGGGGTTTCACCATGGCCAGGATGGTCTCGATTTCCTGACTTCATGATCTGCCTGCCTCGGCCTCCCAAAGTGCTGGGATTACAGGCGTGAGCCACCACGCCCAGCCTGCGCCCTTTCTTAACTAAGCTAATCCGTCCCACTCTTTCTAATTTTATTTACAACTGATATTTTCTTTATAAGTATTTCTAATACTTGCCTAATTCACACAGATAATCCAACAGAAAGCTCTTAGAACCACAGAAGGTTAGATTTGCAGGAAGCTGTAGAAATTATCTAGCTCAATCTCCTTATTTTGTAGGTGAGGAAAGTGAAGTCCAGGAGGAAAATGCTTAGCTCAAGGCACACATTTCGTTAAAAGTCGACCTGGGACTATAACCTCAGTGCTAACGCCCAGTTGAAAGCTGTCTCTGTTATTCTGGTGTTGCTCCTCTACCCTGAGTAACCTCAGAGTGGATGCAACAGCCAGACCGTAGGCTCTCCTACCGTTCTACCTGCTGAAGCTTAGGAACCGACAGTGGAAAACTTATCACCAATAAAAAATAAAAATGGATGATTTTTTAAAAGTCATATATCTAGCTGGCAAAAGGCTTCTTGGGATTAGGAAATACAATATGTCCCACTAGAAGATAGAAACTGTGGGCCAGGCTCGGTGGCTCACACCTGTAATCCCAGCACTTTGGGAGGCCAAAGTGGGGGAATCACAAGGTCAGGAGTTCAAGACCAGCCTGGCCAACATGGCGAAACTCCGTCTCTACCAAAAACACAAAAATTAGCTGGGCGTGGTGGCCAGCGCCTGTAATCCCAGCTACTTGGGAGGCTGAGGCAGGAGATTCGCTTGAATCCAGGAGGCAGAGGTTGTAGTGAGCCAAGATTGCACCATTGCACTCCAGCCTGGGCAACAGAGCAAGACTTCCTCTCGACAGAAAAAAAAGAAAGAAAAAAAAGAAGAAGATAGAAATTGTGAACTGGCAATGACTCAAAGGGTTGATACCATTCAACCAGCAACCCTCCCTCTCTTGATACAAGTTCCCAAAAGAGGCTATATTCTATCATCTCAAAAAAGGTGATGAGCACTACCAAAAATTAAGCAGAATCTAGAATTTAATTGAATCCCAGTAATATGACAACCTAATAGTAACTCAAAATTAAATTGTCCTCTGAGAATGAATAAACCTTACAACATTAAAGTCCAGGTAGCACCTAAGTCTTAACAAAGAAGCCATGGCAGTCGCCATCTTTGTCACCATGCAATAGGAATACAGCTCTTTAAGTGACTGAGTGATTAAAACTACAAATTAGGCCGAGCGCAGTGGCTCACACCTGTAATATCAGCACTTTGGGAGGCTGAGGTGGGCGGATCACCAGAGGTCAGTAGTTCGAGACCAGCCTGGCCAACATGGTGAAACCCTGTCTCTACTAAAAATACAAAAATTAGCCAGGCTTGCTGGTGTGCACCTGTAATCCCAGCTACTAGGGAGGCTGAGGCAGGAGAATCACCTGAACCCGGGAGGTGGAGGTTGCAGTGAGCTGAGATTGTGCCCC